CATGATATAGCAATTCAGTCAGCACACTCAGGTTGTGGTTTTTGTTGGTGATCTGTCTTTGATCTTGTAATGTTGAAAACTAAACTTGAGCAAGCTTGATAACCACTTTTCTGAAGTGCACAATTTGAACAAGTGCACGCTTATAGATGCATTTAGTATTCAAATGCTGCATCTTCATGTTATAAGACAGATGGAGTCTGGGTAGGTGGAGAGAGTTATTTGCTGAAAGTGTTGTGGGAGGAAGGTTTGTATTGGGCCTTTTGAAATGGTATGTTTTTTTTGGCCATTTTCTAGCTCTGGCTTAATCAAGAAAATATGTCTCAATAATCCATTCTGAAAATGTTAAGTGGAGTCCAATATGTAAGGTAAACACACTATATGAAACCCTAAAGCTATATTAGAGAATAAGCTGATTATTATTACAATTTTTAATCACAGCAACATACATAGCTGCAATGATTAGCAGCAATATTACACTGCCTTACAAAAAATATATATTTTGGAGTCCTTGTTCTGTTGGCATAGCAACTCCAAAAGTGAGGCAGATTCACCTAATGTCAGTACAGTTTTTCCACTTAACAACATAAAATAATAAAATCCCGCTTTTAAAATATTTTTGATAATTTCCGTGATGCAGCTTTGCAGCTATTCTCTCTCATGTCTCCGTGTGTCCTCTCGGTTGCAGTTTATCCTTCCGGAATGTGTTCCAGTCGGGGTATCTGCGGTAACAACAACCGCTCCAACAGACCCTCGAGCACAGAAAGCACCGGATCAGGCGCTCACTATGCCCTGTGCGCCCTTGGAGTGGGGCTCATCGCCCTGGGCATTGTCATGATTGTGTGGACTGTGATACCGATGGATGGAGAGGCAGCAGGCAGCTCCCCGGGTACATCTGGTAACTCCACCACTGTGCCTGGGAATGAGGATGCTGAGGAAGAAGACGACAAAACAAAATCTTCATCAGTAGCTATTGTTCTTGTTGGAGTTGGGGCAGCCATGTTGCTTTTATCCATTTGCCTCGGTGTGAGAAACAAGAGAAGGGCCCGCAACCAACGTAACCAGCCAGCAGCAACAGGAGTGGCCTTAATGGACCATGTGGCAGGAGGTCAGGAAGGGTGCGTAATGAATTTCTGTATCTGTCTTCATTATATAATCTTTCTGAAATCATCTTTCAGTATTACTACTATATGAAATATTATGAAATGTGTGATACCCAAAGTATATTTAAAGCCAGTTTCGGATGTTTTAATCCCTTACTTTGTGGCGATCTGGTTGATGCATCCCACCTGGAAAGTGCAAAAGGATTCGATTTCATATTTCTTTTTGATTTTTTTAAAGGCAACACATTGACAGCACTATCACTGGGATTGTTTTCTTATCCAACAAAGCATCCACATCTACAATCAACAGAATTTCTAATGTTTCTAATGTCTAATGCGTTTTTCACATGTTGGCTCATGTTATACCATGTTTAAACCTGGTATTTCGTTTGTTTCATATAACTTTCCTCATAAAAAACCCAAACCGCAGCGAAATGTTATTTAACATTTCTCCATTATGAGATGAATAAAGGATTATCTTATTTTATCTTATCTTAAATAATAATCACTTACTTTAAGCCAAGAAACTGAGATCCTCAGATATTGTGAGAGGCTTCATGGGGAGCAAAATAGTCAGATATGTCTTTAATAAATATTTCCATGGCAACTTATCAAAGGAGCATGTATAAAGGGAAAGGTGTATCTCATAATAACAATAACCCTTTAGAGCACTATCACCAGACGGTTCACTTATCTGCTTTCAGCTCTTTGGTTTGGTTTTAGGGCTCAAAACTTAATTTGGTTAATTCTCCCCACACCATTGCTTCATTTTCAGCCCCAGCAGGCTGAAGTTTTCTGTTCTGTTTAACAAACTTTACCGCACTGCAACCCTTTGATTTCACTGGTGAATTATAACGCAGCCAAACAGCCAGATAGTTCTCTAGGTTTGTTGCGATCAAAAACATGGCTAAAGATGATTGAACGTAAGACTTACATTTCAGTAAGAGCTCTTAAACATAATTTTGAATGATCTCAAATAATGACTTTGTCCTGTATATTATTTGATGTTAGGTTTTCTCACTGAGGTTCACCTTTTGCATCCTTTCGCAGGGTTCCAGATGCAACAACATACAACGTGCCGAGCTACGAGGAGGTCATTGGCAGTGGGAATTACCCTGTCCGCCAGAGCAACCTGCGCCAAAGCACCTCCCAGCTGCCGTCCTACGAGGACATCATAGCTGCGGTGGAAAACGAGGGGACAGAGCCCGCCAACAACTCCACTGAGGCCATCCCACTCAATGACCCCACACCATCTTCTCCTGCTCAACCCATGGCTGAGCTCCAGCCTGACCCTCCCAGCATCACACCAACCCCCAGCCTGCCCACCCGCAGCAGCAGCCGTGCCAGCCGTTTACTGAGGCCCCTCCGAGTGAGGAGGATCAAGTCAGACAAATTACACCTGAAGGACTTCCGTCTTCAAATCCGCAGCCCCACACAGAATCCAGTGAACATTGAACCCATCACTCCACCACCGCAGTATGATAATAAGATGCCTGAATTAGGGTAGGGTCTCCCACTGCTTGCCTTGCTCCAGATGAATAAAAATATCTGTGTTAATTGGACTAATGATAACACCGCTTTCACGGTGGGTTATTAGTAGGTTAAATGTGGCTGCAAGCTGGGTGATGTAGGCTGGGTAGACACGACTGGAACAAGAATATCTCTTGAGTGGATCTCTTGTTCATCATCCCTGAGGCTTGTCATGGGCATATTTATTCTGTTAGAATGCTAAATTATGTCTGTGTGAAAGTATCAGCTGTCAGAGTTGAGCTTTTGTTTTAAACATCATGACGTAACTTATATCTCACAGGACCTTATTCTATTTCACTTTTATTTAATAGATGATTGTATGTCATAATGGACAATCTCCTTAACTCCTGACTTTGTCTTTCCAGTTAAAAGGAATGATGTTGTTTCTTTATTGTTGTTTCTGAATTATTTTGAAGTTTAAATGATAAATGTTAAAAGACGGGAAAAGGGAAACTAATAACCTGGGGGAGGTTTTTTTTTAAGAAAACTATTTTTATGACTCGTAACTTTTGTAATCGTAAGGAAATGCACTGTAACACGTTTGTAAACATTAGCTGTTTGTTTGGAAATATGTTTTGCTATTTGTTTTAAAATCTACTGTTTTACACAATTTGGGTTTTGAAAATCTCATCTATATGATGTCTACTGTGAACTTTGAATTATTACAAAACACTGTAAACTATCTCCTACTGTGGAAAATAACCTCCAGGAGTGATGTATTGTATATTCTGATAATGGATTTGATTTGTTGCTTCATAGGACTTTTAATTTTGTTCTGCTGGAATATTTCTTTTAAAAAAAGGGCAAATGTTTTTCTTTTTGATTCATAATCCTCATATTTGTTCCAAAATGTCACTAAAATTACATGATTTTTTTTTTTTTTTCAAAACCTCACCTGATAGTAATGCCATGATCAATTTACAGCAAGTTTATCTACAAAATACAACTGAAACAAAAGTGACCGTGTCACACCAAAACCTGCTGATTCCCCTGGAAGACATATATCTACAAATAATTGCTGGTGATTTTTCCTGTTTGCATGCTGCAAGTTTGCTGGACTTTTATTTATTTTGAGAGAGATACATATTGTCTTTTAACAAACAGTTAATAAAATTGAACTCCAGATGATTGATTTTTGTGTCTATTTCTTAATCAAAATATTTTTATTAAGATGTATTTTGATTCATCACAAACTTTTATTGCATCAATTTCAACTTTGTTCATTTTCATTGGTTGATATTTGGCGCCCCCCAGTGGAAAAAGATCTTATGAGGCTTTTGATGAAAATCACGTGACAATTTTTCCTCTTACTTTTATATTATACAGGACATGGTTATTATGTTGGCAGGGAATCATATTATAGTTTTTGAGATGTAATGTTACCTGAGTGTTTGCTGGAATGTTCACTTATCAATAAGATTTTTATAATAAATATGCCATCTTTTTGATTAACTTATCTTTGTATTTCATTCTTTATTCATTAGAAATGTTCCTTACAAATAGGCTATGCTTTTAGTATATTTATATATTATATATTTACTACCTTTATAAATCATTACCTTAAATTATGTATTAGGATCATCCACTGAAGTAGAAGCACTTTATGTATTCATGCATTGAAAGTGTTACTGAATAAAATGTGAAGAGAGTATGTCAGTAAAAAGTGCTTAAAGTATAAAAGTTAAATAACTAAATGCAGAATGGTCCTGTGTGTGAAAACTATTTAACATGATAATATAATATATTTTGAGAGATTAATATGTGAGTAGCATTCTTGCACGTCTAGTTGGAATTCATTTTGAGTCATTATCTTGATTCATAAACTGTTTGGTAAGTTAAATTATTTACAATGGTCCGTTGCTTGTAATGATAAGTAATTTTTTTGTTAAGTAACTTGTAACTTTAGTTGTAAAATAATAAATAAAATCGAATAAAATGTATTATATTTACAACCTGAAATTTTTAGAGTATAATGTAGCATATACATGTTTTCGAATATGGTAAAAGTATAAAAAGAAAATGCATTTGAGAGCTCTACTGACCAGTCACAGACATAGTTACTTCCCATTATTGCTGATTCGACTCTTTAAAGTTGACCTTCATTTTCATGTTGCAAATTATCCTTTAATATTTTGGGCTGTGTGATTTTAAATTAAAATGTTGACAAAATGCGGATCCAAAAGTCTTACACATTTGAAGTGCTTAAGTTTATTTTTACATTTCCAATATCACCTATTTTTTCCTTAGCTCCACCCTCTGCTCGGCTCAAAGGGATTTTTTTTTTCTTTTTTTAATGTGCAGCTGCCATGTAGCAGAGGGAGGAACAGCTGTCTAAGGGAAGAGCCAGCCCGGGGAGTCAGTCACATTCCTGGCTGGGATTCAATGACTGAACCAGACACAAACAAACAGTGAGGGCGAGAGAGAGAGCGGGAGAGAGAGAGAGAGAGAGAGAGAGAGAGAGAGAGAGAGAGAGACTCACACATTGAGTGAGAGGGGAGACAGACTGAGAGTACGCCAGACGGAGCAGACGAGGCATATTTCGAGTGCGCATTAGGAGTGCGTAAAACCGCAGGAGCGTATAGACAGAAAGTACCGACAATTGTGCGTTGGATAGTACAAATTTTGAGTCTAGAAGTTTTCGACTTAAATTGTGACTTCTTACAGGAACAGCAGCCGTGAATTCCGCAGCCTTCAGTTTTCTGAATGGACGAGCTGGGAAGCTTCTCCGGTGACATGGAAATGTGCGTTATTGAGCGTGTAGCCGGATGCTGAGGACGCTCGACTCGATAAGTCAATTCCAGCTTTCATTTTGAGTTTTGAAACCTCTTTTCTAACCAACAACAACATGGAGGCCACCAGCTTTCAGCCCCATCCCGGACTTCAGCAAACTCTGAAGCAGTTTCATCTAAGTTCCATGCGCTCTCTTGGTGGACCGGCAGCGTTCTCCGCTCGGTGGCACCAGGACTCACTCTTCGGTAAAGATGGGAAATCCGTAGAGATGATGTTCACCCTGCCGGCCCAGACACCTCCGGTAATGTCGGGTCCACTTTTTATCCCGTCCGACCGCTCCACGGAGAGGTGCGAGACGGTGTTGGAGCGGGAGCCCATCTCCTGTTTCGTTGTCGGTGGAGAGAAGCGGCTGTGCCTCCCGCAGATCCTCAACAGCGTCCTGAGAGATTTCTCCCTCCAGCAGATCAACTCGGTGTGCGACGACCTGCACATCTACTGCTCCAGGTGCACGGCAGACCAGCTGGAGATCCTAAAAGTGGTGGGCATCCTGCCCTTCTCGGCTCCGTCCTGCGGGCTGATCACTCAGACGGATGCTGAGCGCCTGTGTAATGCTCTCATCTACGGCGGTACGTTCCCCCCTCACTGCAACAAGGAGTTAGGCTCCCTGGAGTTGGAGAGGACAGAGAAGAGCTTCAAAGTCTACCATGAATGTTTCGGTCGGTGTAAAGGCTTATTTGTCCCGGAACTGTATACGGGCCCGAGCGCTGCCTGCATACAGTGCATGGACTGCAGACTCATGTTCCCCCCTCACAAGTTTGTGGTCCACAGTCACAAGAGACTGGAGAACCGTACTGTCCACTGGGGGTTTGACTCTGCCAACTGGCGGGCTTATGTGCTCTTAGACCCGGACTACACTGGGAAAGAGGAGAAGAGTCATCTGGAGCAGCTGCTTAAAGAGTTAAAAGGAAAATATGACCTGACGGGCAAGAGGTCCAGTATATCCTGCAGAGTAAGTCTGGTCTGTTTCACCCTGTTTATAATCACAATCTCTTATTGTCTGTGCAGTGTTTTGTTTGTGGATGTTTCAACAGCCCCAGGCCTTCTTCAGTATCTGTATCCATTAACATTCATACTGAGATGGCTTTCTTCTCATATAGTTCTACTTTTGATTGATTGGTTGTATCTCTTCCAAGTGTGCCAGTCTTATTAATGATTCCCAACTGAGTTAGAATGCAAATCACATGTCACATCACATCTTCCTGTGTCTGTCCTGCACTGTGATACACCTCCATGACACCTCACTCACCTCATATGTCTAACAGAGGTGACAGTGAAGCCTCTAACCATCCGCTTACACCCCATAGCATCCCTCCTATCTGTTAAAACTCCCCAGTCTATCCCCCCCAGGGTTACCCAAGGGCATCTGCATTATGATAAATGGAGTCCTGATGATATATTTTATTGGTGGGTGTGTGGAGAGGGGGCAGGGTAGCTTATTATGGTGCCACGAGGTTGGGAAGGGGATAAGGGTTTAATGAGGTTTGGGATATGGAAATGAATGTGTGTGCGGTTGGATAAGATGTTTTTGAGTGTGTGTGTGTGTGTGTGTGTGTGTGTTGTGTGTGTGTGTGTGTGTGTGTGTCACCTTCCAGGCTCCTCACATGGGTCAGAGATGTTTAGTATGGACAAAGGGCCTTGAGATGAGGTGGCTGTTCGTCCGTCACAGAGCAGCTGTTGTGTGGGACTCTGCTAATGAGTGGACATCTCTGTGCATGTGCACCATGGTGCTGCTCCAGGCTGAGCAGGAGCCAGAAGATGTCTTACAGGGAAACCTCAGTACTCTAGAGATTGTTTTTACCAAGTACTTATCCAAGTCATAAATAGTGTAAACAGCTCTTTACACTGTTTGGATGTGATATGACGCTATGAAACAAGTGGATCTGTTTTATTTGTTGCTGATTGATAACAATATCAAATCACTGCAAAGGCAGATGTAGTTGCAGATACCTGAGACTTGTTTTAGGCAGTATGAGGCACTTTCACTTAAAGAGATATTGGAAAAACCCTAGAACTCCCTTTTAAGAAAATACTCAGGTTTGTGGTTTGGAAATTTATTTGAAGTCTTCAAGATACTCAAATGTATTTCATTTTGTTGCATCCACAGCTGACTTCTATGATTTTTCCCTTAAACTGATACAAATACTCGTTAAGTTCTTTCATACCAAGCATATATTGATGACTGTGAGTTACACATTTCCTTGTGTAAGTGTGTGTGCATCATGGAGGCAGCATAGCAGAGGGGGCAGTGCTTGTTTGCTGTGGTTCACTGTCAGTCGTGTCCCAGTTTGTAGACAGGCCGGGTCCTCGGGGAGCTGCACACCAGCGCCTCCCGATACATCAGCCTGACAGGCCAAGCTGCTGAAAGGCCGGCTGGACAGACGGGGGGCTCAGATTGGCCCGGCTCGCCTTACCCGTGAAACAAAAACTCAATGTTATCGGCCAGCCTCAGCCTCTCTCTGATGTCAGCGTGTTTTATTAATAACACAGTTACCTCCTCTGCTTGGATCATCTGTCTAGACTCCCACCTCATCCTCCAAACATGGTGGAAGAAACTGCAGAGAAGATGAATGCTGATGTGATTTTTGGGAAAAGTGCAGTTTGCTGAAGGGATTAAGCATTATTCCAGATTTGGATGCATTTATAGCCTGTTTAAGTATAGAGTGAAAGATATGTAATTCTTGAATTGCAGCCCTCTCAGAAAAGCAGAAGCCTGGTCAGAGAAGAAATTGTTGCCCGTGAACCATTGTGTCTGTTTCACATCAAATACAGCATTTGGTCATTTAGCTCTGTGGCTATAATGTGGAGATGAGGGAGATTGCAAAGAGGAGACTGCAGACTCTCATTCAGGAGACACAGGGTGTGTGTGAGCCAGGCCTTGACATGTGTTGTCAAAGGGCCATGACCCTTGACCTTTCTCCAAAGACACTGACCCAGCCTTCCCCCATTCTTTTCACACCGTCCAATCACACGGCCTTGTGTCCAGTCCACCGGCCAGATGGCTGTCTGATAAAGGACGGAGGGATATACAGTGAGCAGATAACAAATATCTCCCTCACAGTGCAGTTTGATTCCAATAAATCATTTTTGGTATGCTCTCTCTTTAATTCAGTCCTGACATGATTATCCTGCTGACACAGGAGCAAAAATGGAAATTTCAAAGAAACTTGAATTTTCAGTCCACTTTAAACAACTTGTTCGTTTGTGTTGAACCTAGCATTTAATAATTCAAATGTTAACTTTTCTGATTAGCATGAAAATCTTCAGGAAAGAGGATTTGAATTGCAAAATTTTTTTTCCCCTTCAAAGTCAAATACTTTTGAGAATTAACTGTAAAAAAAAAAATCCCTAAAATGTGAGAGCAATGTGTTTAATCATCTGACTGAGCGGAGAGTAAACGGGGGGTCTGGAGAACTGTGTAGACCCTCCTTAATGGGATGGATATTAAAAGCGTTCAACTGAGGCCAATTTATGCCATTTCTTATCCCATTGTTCTCCTCCCTGGATGAAATTAGCTTCAAACCTAAAGCAAACCAATCAAGTGTGTGTCAGAGGGTAAAGGTTTGTGTGTACTACGTTATCAGCACTTCTTGAAAGTGGATGAATGAATGGGAAATACCTCCTGTGCTATCAGGTAACTGTGTGTTTGTCTGCACATGTATGCGGGCGACTTTAAGCAGAGCGAGTATACCAGTGTGTTTGCATGTAAACAGGCGAGTGTAATGACTGGATCAGCTGTGCAGGCCAGATTAAAATGAGCTCTCTGCCGGCTCATTTCCATTCCCATCTGTCTGCTGACCTCTGGGAAGCCCTGAAAGCTGACATGGTGCATCTCTTTGGTCCTTGATGGCCTGTCTGCTCAGTGTTGACCCAGTCAGGTAAGACCCAAACCACCCAGATACACGGATTGTCAGATGCATTTAGTTCCGACTTCTAAATCCTGGTGCAACAAATTCATATTTTGAGTAGTTGTTGTCTCCTTTTGAAATGTATTTCTTTTGAGAGCAGTCGTCTGTCTCGCACACCCCCACTCAGCACCCAGTTCCCAACTGACCAGCCCAAACCCCCTCCTCCCCCCTGAAGACCATCACCCAATCTTTGCTGTGACTGCTGGCTGCAGTGTTGTGGCCAAAGCAGGGCAGGCGTGTCAAGGCAAAGGGGTCTCCGCAGCTCCCAGGGGTTGTGGCCTCTATTCTGGCAGCGGTGACCCCATGTTAAAAGGGTGTCAGCTGGGGTTCTGTCATGGCTGATGTGTACTAAAGACCTGCCGCCTCCTTTGTTCGAGCGCCGGCCTTTCAGAGGCTGTGAAGTGCAGCCATTTCTCTTTGTTTGTGCCTTGTTTCTTTTGGTGCTGTGTAGATAGGTTTGTAACCTCCAGCCTCTCTCAGGGTGGGAAATCCTTGCTCATGGGTTTGCAATGTCACTGATTTCCTGGTTTTGAGATGGAAGACGGATTGAAACCTGCAGCATTGTCTGCATGTCTGATAGAGATAGGGGCGAGGAGGTGATTATTTTTTATTGACCCTCGGTGGACTCATTTCAAAATTATATGATCTTATCATAAAATGACTCTTACAAACATCTGCCACTGAATTTAATGGTTTCTGAGAAAGTAATTAAAATAAGAAGTTGTTTTTTTTTTTTCTTTGCATAATGAGGAGTTTGGCCTTGTGGAAGTTTGTTTTTTAAACCTTTTTACAGAAAACATCCTTATTGATACTATTACAATTGTTTAACCATTGCAACATTTTTTACAATGATAAAGCACAGCTGGTTATTAATGGAAATGCAGTATATTACAGTTCTTTTTTAGTCAAGCCAAAGTGTTAGCCCAATAACATAAATCCAATGATTAAAGTGTTGATCCTTTACTGAAGCAAGAGAAGCAGAGGGCGGTAAAAATACTCCTTTTTTAAATCTTGTAGCCAGCTTCAATCTTTCAATCAATCCGAATGAATCTAAAGTACTCTTTTCCAGCAAAGAAACCCTGTCATGATATATATATATATATATACACACACACACACACACACACACACACACACACACACACACATATACTATTAAAGTCGAGGGAGACAAAAATGTCAGTATTTTACTCTGGAATACACTCAAGTATATTTACTTAGTTTTGTTCCACTGTATGTTTTGGAAGCTTTTAGTTGCTTTGTGAAGATATTCGATCATTATATTTAATAAGAGACTCATTAAATTTGTGTACAAGGTTGCCAAAGTAATTACCGGCCACTGAAGCTAATTTGTGTCTATCAAATGTGCACAAAAGATATTTCTTATACCAAAAACATGTTTCTTTTTCATGATACTTTTGAATATCTAGAGTTAAAAAGTCAAATAGCATAAATTGAATTAAAAGGGGAAAAGTCAGTGCATATTTGTATGCTTCCATAAACACACATTTTACATTCTTACAAATACATGTTTTTCAGTTACTAATGAATTAATGAAAAATACTTTTCATGAAACGGTGCTTTTAGAGGCAATTTAAGAGTGAATTTGCAAGCCTGGCTTAAAGAAACATTTTTATGAATTAATTGTAAACATCATTAAACTGAAAAGTCAGACATTATCTAGCCTCCTGAGTTAAAATATGTTTAATATTCAAATAAACCGTACTATATTATTACCCTGCTCCACTTCTGATCATCTCATATGGACAGTTTTTGCTCGGTTTGTCTGTTAACCTCGATGACACAGCACAGTGCTATCGTGTGAAAGAGTTCTTGTATAACTGGTGGAAAGAGCGAGGAAGATGATGAGTGTTGATCAGTGATGATGATGAGAACGATGATGAGCTGAGGGAGGAGATGAGCACAGGCTGTGTGACTGCAGTAGGTCGGGTCCGTTTGTGACAGAACAGATGCCTGTATGGGCTTGTGTTATTCCACAATCATCATCAATTCCTCCCGATCACCTCCTGATTTCCAGCCCTGT